AGGGAGGGGGGGGGGGGGGGGGGGGGGGGGGGGCTCCACTCCACTGCGCCCTGATTCCCAGCAAAAGGACCTAGGCGACAGGACCTGATCTCAGGAAGGTAGCCACAGCTGCAGAACATAGATCTGTTTCAAGAAAAGTTGGGAATGCAGACTTTCATATGAGCCCTATTCCAAAAGGTGGCAGTTTATTCACATTGTGGCAAAGACACCTTCAAGAGTAACATAAGTGGGTAAAATCAGGGCCAAACCAGGCCCTTTCCTTATCCAATCTCTCTGAGGCACGTGGACAGAACTAAGTCTCAGCTTTTCGCAGGATACTTCCAGGGTTCTTTTTTAGTCTAAAGGACAGTAGTTTGTCTCCATTATTGCTCTTTGGGATTTTTTCATCATCGGGTAAAAGGTATGTACATTGGGGCAATTCTCTTGAGATACAATATCCCAGTTGCACCAATGTGATGACAACAGTGACCCTCAGAGGGATGGAGCTGGCAGATGAGGAGCAGGGAATTCTGAAAACCAAAGCGATGACAGAGATGCTAAGCCTTTCCTTCACGTGTCTGACACCCCTCCTTAGGCCGCCTGCAGGCCAGGTGTCTGCTGGACCTTTACTACTTGATGTCCTGGCAGGCTGCCCATGGCCCTGCTAGGCAGTGTGCATGGCTGCCTGGGTCATGGGGGAGTCATCCCAGCCACTCTTGGTACAGATCCTGCACATGGGCGCTGTTCTCCAGGGGCCACACCATGATGGCAGCGTAGATGCCTTCCATCAGCCACAGCAGTGCCCTCTGCATGCCCTTCATCTGACTGGGCTTTGCCTCTGCAGCTTAGGGCATGCCAGCGCAGGCTAGGACCCCACAAAGTAGCAGGAGAACTTGCCCCTCTACAGCTTCAGGGCCACTTCTGGATGTTCCAAAAGCCATAAGCAGCCTCAAAGCATAGCAAAACCTCTCTGTCCCTTTCAAGAGTGACCTCCTTGAAGTCATTGTTCCTCAGGATATGGTAGGTGAGCACTCCCGAGTCCTCGTTGAACAGATCCTTGGTCATGTGCCTGAAGATGTGCGCCAGGTACCCGTCGGAGCTGGCACCCTCATGGAGCCTCACCTCTTTCTCCTTCATGTCTCTAAACAGTGTGTCCGTGGTAGCATCATTTGAGGTGAGGTCACACTGCTCCATTATCTAAACAATTTCACCCGAGGTTAACACACAGACAGCACCCTGGGAACTATGTAAAGCTGTGGGAACATCTTCTCAAAGGGCCTCCAGTTTCTTGTCATAATACAAGATCACAATGATGTGGAAAATCTTGTCTGGGGACAGCTTCTGCCGTCTGGTGAAGTAATCCTTCACCAGAGAGCCCATGATCTGCTGGGGAGACTTGGCCATTCAGAAGTGGGGGTTATGGGGTGACCTAGCACATGTTCTATATATTAGTCCCAGCCAGGGCAGGCAGAGGTCAGCATGGGTAGCCAGGGCTCTTCCTTATGGTGCTGGCAGTACTGACACACAGATTCCTGCTGAC